GCGGGGCGCGGGGCGCTGGCAGCGCTGGAGTCGCGACTGCAGACGATGAGGTGCAGACGCTGTCCGGCAGCGTGAGGCGGGCCCCTCCCGGACCCCCTGGCACCCCCAGCACCCCAGGCTGCGCAGCTGCTTCCAAGGGCCCCGGCGCGCAGCCGCCCAAACCCGCCAGCTTGGGCCGCGGGCGGGGGGCAGCCGCCGCCATCCTCAGCTTGGGCAACGTGCTCAACTACCTGGACAGGTACACCGTGGCAGGTGAGCGAGTGCCCCACCCAGCACCCGAGAACCAGGACCCCCGCATCGAGGTACCCCGGGGAGTCTTTGGTCCCAGGCCCCCTATATTCAAGCGCTACGTGGGGTCTCTAAGGGACCTTCTGCTAAGACACCATTGGGCTCTATCGGTTCATACCAGGGACCCCCCTCCCAGGGCAGGGCCAGGGGTTGGGGGCGTCTCCACCCCAAGATCAGCCCGCGCGCCCTCCCTAGCCCTTGACGTCCCAGCCCTTGTCCTCTTCTCGGAGTCTCCTCTGCGTCTCTGCGTTCTAGCCTCCGCGCCCTCTCCCTTCCCAGCCGCAGGTTCCCGGGCCTCTCTCCCCCTCTCCCCATCCCCCAGCCCAGGCAGTCTGTCCGTCGGTGGCCCGTCAGTTCCTTCCTTCCTCCGTCGCCTCCATCCCCAGCGTGCGGACAGCGAGTGCGCGCGTCTCTTGCGGGTGTACGCCAGGGAGACCGAGTGTGTGCGCGCGTGGCGGCGCGGATGTGTGTGTGAGCGCGTGGCTGACAAAGGCTTGGGGCTGCGGGGAGCAGAGGGAGGGGCGGGGCGGGTCTGCGGCGCCTAGGGACCCAGGATGCGGTTTGCAGCTGGCCCTGGCTAGAAGCCTGAAGACGCCGCCCCCTTGCTCCCTGGTGTTGGGGGCCTAGGTCAGGCTCCTGGAGCTAGAGAGGGACGGCCTCATGCTCTCTGAGCATCTCTGGGGACCAGCCTTGGGATGGAGTGAAAGTCGATAGAACAACTGGGTTCTAGCCCTGCGTTTGTCCCTAGTATGCTTGGTGTGTGACCTTGGTCCAGTCTTAGCTGGTGTTTAGGTTTGTTTCCCTATTTGTGAGGGGGATGATCCCTGCGCCCGTTAGGGATTGACAGGGTTCTGGAATTTCTTTCTGTATGCTCCCCTCCCCCACTGCTCAGGGGCCTGGGGGTAGGTATTTGCCCTAGATTGAGCTGCCTCTGGGTGGGAATGGTGCAGGCTGAGATGAGAGAAAGGGACTCTGGCCAGGCTGGCCTAGCAGGGGCTTCCTATGGAAGGAGAGAAGTGACTGTGTACCTGGCATGCTGGCTCAGAAGCTGCCCAACCACAGCTTAATAAAATCTAAAGCTACAAAAAAAAAAAAAAAAAAAAAAAAAAACTACTACCAAAGAATTTTTTTTTTTTTAGACTCTAAAGAGAATTTGTGGTGCTGGAGAGAGGAGAGCCCTATCATAATGGTCAGTTAGGTGGCCACCTACCACATGCCACCTGGGACCCTTCTCTGGATCTCAGTTGAATGGTGCTCTCTGTAGGAAGGGGCTTTGTGTGAAATAGAATGGGAAACTCTTGATAGCTTTCCCTCCCTCCCCTGGAAGGAGTTGGAGGTAGGTACCAATGGCACCTGTTTCTGGGTCAGGCTGTCCCCAAGAGGCTCTTGATGAGCAGGAATACTGAGTGCCACCCAAGTGCACCAACCCCTGTCCTGTGTATGTGTGCAACATGCTGCTCAGGTGCCACCCTGTGGGGAGAAGTCACAGAGCACTGGAGACCCGCAGGCGGATCAAAGTAGACTTCTGTATACACATGGGGAAACTGAGGCCCCTTGTGGCCCTCGGCCAAGATGACCCCAAGAGTGGACAAGAGAGCTGGCTTCAGGTCCACTGGTGTGTCTCTGCCCGGCAAGAGGCTTCCCGCCCTCCCTCAGCTGGGAATGGAATGGTGCTGCTTCTGGCACCATCACACTCCTCAGCTTGTTTTATCCGGCCCAGACCAACCCCTCTGATATTCTTGGGGGAACTGACTCTGGCAGGCGGAGAAGGGGGAGATCAAGGTGCCTCCACCTCTACTTGGGTCCTCAAGTCAGAATGTCAGAATAGGGGGAAAAGATAGGACATTTCTGGTGAGTTGGTGACATGGGAGGATAGTGGTTAAGAGAGGAGTAGGGCATTAGGGAGGAAGGCCCGGAAACCCCTGTGCAAACACTGCCTGGCCTGTGCCTCCCTCTCTGTCCCAGTATTCTCCAGAGCTCACACGCCGCCCTGCCCCCTAACACATAACTTACAAATTTCCTTTCCGGATAAGCCTGGCTCCATCTTTCTGTCTCTTTATGGTAGACTTCCCTGCCCTCAGCTCCCCAAAGTTCAGGAAGATTTACTCTCTCTATAGCAACTACTATGGCTTGATGTGTCTTCTGCTGTGGGCCAGGACAATGGCTATCTTAGGTCTGAGTCCACCTGTGTCTGGTGGGCCCAGCAGTGGACAGAGAAGGGGATGTGGACACTCTGCTACTCAGTCCCTTTCAATGCCTGCCCCACTTGGCTGCTGAGACCCTTACAATGGGGCCCCAGCTCCCCAACAAAGAAAGGGGTGAGTCCCCCGCTCTCTTCCTTTAAATCCACCCTGCACATTTCTGTCTTTGCGGTATAGACCAGCTCTGTCCAGAGGAATATAATGCAAGTCACATATATGATTTAAAATTTTCTGGTAGTTACATTAAAAAAAGTAAAGAGACACAGGTGAAATTAATTAATACTATATTCTATTTAGCCTAATATATCCAGCGTATTATCATCCCACCAGGCAATCAATATAAAAAATTATTAGTGAGGTGTTTTGGATTCTCTGTCATACTCCATCTTACAAATCCAGTGTGTGTTTTATATTTATGGTGCATGTCAATTTGGACTAGCTGCACTTGAGGTGCTCAACAGCCACACTGGCTAGAAGTCAGTGTAGTGGACAGCACAGGTCTAGAGTCTTTGATGCCAGAGTTCAAGTCCATGCACTTAAATATACCAGCTGTGTGACCTTGGGGACATTGCCTGAGCCTTCTGTGTGATAATTTGCTCCTCCCCACCTCCGGGGTTGTCTGGAGTAAAATCTGGTACAAGGCCAGACCCTAAGACGGCCTTACAAATGTCATCTGCTGTCTCTGCCATGCTTTTGTTCAAGCTGTGGCCTCAGCCACTATGTTCTTCCTGGTTTTCTGTTTACGACAGTCCCTTTGAGGACAACTTTGCAGATCCCTCCCCTCTCTACCAGGGCTGGGTTTCGTCCTGGGAATGCTGGTAGCTTCTGCCCCAGCCCTGGCATTCCCAGCACCACCTGGTGATCCAGTTAATTAAGGCCTCTCTTCCTCCCCATGAGAACCCCTTGAGGGCAGCAGGCCTCACAACCCAGTGATGAGGGCCAGGCTTCTGCTCCTGCCTTTCTGGCCGAGCATTGCTTCAGTTGGATGAAGTGAAGGGAACCCAGAAGTCTCATCTAAGCTCTCCCTCCACTACCTTGGGGACACTGATACCCAGAGAATGTGGACCCTTATCCAAGGTCACACAGACTCCTCCCTAACCTCCCCCAGTGCAGCCTTCCCTCCAGCCCAGCAGCCTCTAGTAGAGGTGGGCCACGCCTGCTGCTCTGGCCTGGAAAAAGAGAGACTCTGTTGGCCAGGGTAGGAGCCCTTTTGGGTAGATGAATTTCAGTTCAATTTAGCTGTGACAGTGTTAGCTCCCCCAGGACACTTGCTCCTGCTTCCATGGCCCTGTCCTAGCCTGGCAGCCCTCTACTCTGCATTCTGACCCTGTCCATGGCGGCCAGGTCAGGAGAAGGAGGTAGCCCCTCTGGTGAGGGCCTTGGGCCCCCTCTTGCCAGTGCTACTTCCTGATGCCAAAGCCGCCTCTGCTTCTGGCTTCCATTCTTCCACCTGGAGGTGTAGGTGGCAGCCTTCTGCTCCTAGAGCCGGGCCCAGCAATGAGGGGCTGGCTCAGTCCCTGCTCCTGATTGGTCAATGACTGTATGAGAACTGACATCCTTCCCCAGCTTCTCTAGAGGCACCTGTTCCCCTCCCAGGATCTATTTTTCTTCCATTTGATCCTGCCCATGGCAGATTGGGCATTTGGAATTGGGAAGGTGGTGATGAGCAGAGGCAGAGCCCTGCCCTGGGGGAGTCCTTTTCTATCAGAGAAGCTGAGACCGGTAGCCATGGCAACTGCTTACTAACACAAACCCTGGAGGAGAGATGAGCACACAGGGACCCAGCTGGGAACACAGGCCTGGCAGGACTTGGGGGCTTCCCCAAACAGCTGAACTGGGTAGAGAAGGAGAGAGCTGCCAGCCACGTTTTGTGCCAGGCTGGGCTTACTTTCCTTTTAGCTCTTTTTCTTATCTGCCTGGTTGAGTCTGTCCAGAGCTGACAGGTGAGGCCTTTCTGGAGGGTCACCTGGGTAGGTAGAGGCAGAGCTATTTATAGCCATCTGCAAGGATGAAATTAGTTCACTATCCACTCTCCACCTCCGTGCACCCTCAGGTGGCCTTGCCCTGGCCACTGCCACATCATCACTGGGGAAACACCTAGCTAAGGACTGAAGGGCAGGGCATCCAGGCCTGCATTCCAGAGCGCCTCTCTGGCAAGGTCAGAACCTAGGTAAACCACTGGGCTGGCCTGGAATGCCAGTGCCCCAGTGACTAACCGCCAGCTGCCCATTTCCTTGCTTCTTCTTCCTCTTAAGGCACCTTCTGATTTGTTCTGCCAACACTTCTGCTGCTGGCCTGTGGGAGGAAGTGCTTTGAAACTCACTCCCTTGGTCAGGGATCCAGAGTCAGTTACTGGCCTGAGCTGTGTGTCATTTTCCCATTTTGTGAGTGGGGCAGGGAGGCTGCAGGGCTGCAGGTTACAGCTTAGTCTGAGAATGAGGCTGCCCCCATCAGAGGTACTCAGGGAGAGGGAGCTTTGGTCCTTACCTCAGACAGGAAGTAGCTTTTATTTCCGCTTGAATGTGGGGACCTGAAGTCCTGAGGGTAGAATGAGGATGAGAGTGAGGGAGGCAAAGAGGAGACTGGTCTGATCCCCAGGCTTCCAGGGCTGTCCCCCCTGTTGGGTCCTCCAAGAGTTTCCTGCTCTTGGCTTTAGCATACTTGCTGTGTGATCTGAGGCAGGTGCCAACCCTCTCTGAGATCTAAGAGATGGTGCCCCCCATTCTGTGGTCAGGGTCTCCCTCCCAAGGTAGCCTGGGGTAC